TCACTCAGACATTTACTTCTTCTCACGAGACCATGCAAACAGGTCTATATCGTCTTGCTGGCCATCGATGACGTTCATGAAGCTAATTTTCCTGGATGCTCTCTCGAATAATCAAAACGATAAATTCATGATACGGAATATGATAACAAATCAATACATCCACACCTCCAGCGAGAACATTGATTCTTAGTACTCCTCCGCACGTAACCGCGTAGGCATCGAAAAACAAAGAAGCGGTACCGTATACCGTAGAATAGAATTTGCTTTTAGAAAAGTATTGCATTCATGATCATACTCCAATGTATGACCAATGTGTTTAGTGCCAAATTTTTATCAGTAATAAAGCTGTTATTGAAATCAATACATTATGCGGAGAGAATGATCCTGAAAAGACTGTGACCGTCGGTCATTGAAAATTATGGAAATAGTGCATAAATATGATAACACCATTCGAAAATGCAATGACAATCGTTTGGCATTACTTTCCCTCTCAACAGAGTTCTAAAAAGATCGGTTCCAACTCTGTGTTATGTGCATCTATAAAGGTTTGCAGAAGTATGGAGGAAAGCAGCGATTCGTTGCCTATTTGCATAAGCCGTTAAACATGTCTCCAGTGCTGATCCATGGCTCAAAGTAATGATTTGCAAGACTGATGTAAAATCCTTTAGTTCCCAACATGCACCGTATACAAGCATCAAAGAGACCTCAAAATAGAGTCCTTTTTTGAGGTTCAACGAATATCAAAGTAGTACAAATTGAATATGATTGTGCATAGTATGTTTGTAGTTGTTACTGTGGCAATGTTCTCTCATCATCGGTCTTTGTCGACTCACTGCTGAATGAAGGCCTCTCCAAAATTTAGCAAATCTTATCTACCTTATTCCAACGAATTTCCTCATTTCATCCTGCCATCGATCCGAAGGCTCACGTAACACAGTTCGTGATGAGCGCGAGGCGGCTCTGGCGGACGTCAGATGGATCTGGCACTGAAGGTACTCAAAAACAACGCAGTCATGGCCTACTAAAATGGCTCCTAGCAACCGGAAGCAATGGGGGTACAATACGCCTTGAAATGTGGAGGAGTTATACACCGTTAAACAGGAATGGTTAAATCCTTACTGCATGAACTGTGAGACAGATGGCTTGGGAACTTTGAAAAAGGCCAAAATAAGCTACTCAGGGAACTTATGGCTTGATTCAGCAGGAGAAACGAAGGGTTTCGCTGTAGCGAAACACAGCATACTCAAAAATCCTACCACACAGTCATGCGCAAGCCGAATAGCCTGAAGCGGAACTAGACAGAAGAGGATATTGGTTTCGAAAGTCAGCGGTGCCAACAGACAGCGGGAAGAACAGGCTGAAAAAATCGACCTAATTGAATATCACGGTTACCGTAATGAGCCATAATATTCTGTAATAATGCTTGTTCACATATTTGTCACTAGAGTAACACAGTTGGTGATTTTCAGCCTATATTTTTGTGCACATTCGACACACGTACAACCTCTGTTCAAATCTGATGCCACAAAATACACATCATTTTGACACCACTGGAAATCCATCACTGAAGTGGGAAGGAGTAACTACTATAATCTAAACCAACTCTGCTCTTTCCTATAGATGGCTCGCCACAGTAAAGAAAACGACGGTCCTGGATCTTTTTTTGAAGTCATCGCAGTCGCGGATTTCCTGATCCTGTATTAAACTATTTAAACAGAAAAGAAATGAAAAAAATTAAATATGACTCCGATGCACTGTAGCAGCTGCCAGGAATTGCACATTTTCTA